GGCAATGTCCAACGCATTTCCCCAACGTGCTACCCCGCAGAGCTACGTAGGCTCGGATTGCAGGCTCTAGGTTCGGGTATAGCTTCAAGTGTGTCAGTGCTGCTTGCAGAAGAGGCTGGTGCTCTAGGAAAAAGAAAATAAAAAAGCACGGGATAGACAGAGGAGGGTAGTACGCATGCAGGAGGAAAAGCGTGGAAGGAGAAAAGGTAGAGTGGGGTCTGTTGCAGAATAAACTAGTGCTTCCTTTGGATGGTGCATGGTTTGAACCGTGGTTCCAGGGCTTTGGATGGATGAAGCTAATGTTTGGTGTAGCCTCCATTGTTCATGCACTCAGACTGCATTTAGGGGTAAAAAATGTACTTCTTTCGCTGCTAAAATAGTGTAATTTAGTGGGCTGACCCTCCCTCGGCCCCTCACTCATTTTTCCTGGCTTCGTCACTGACTGCACTTACAGACAAAAACATGCCGCTGGCACAATTTTGCTCTATGGTGGGCACTGGGGTGACCGTGCTGTGCAGAATAGGATGAATATCGTTTTGGTGAGACCATAGCAGGATGAGACTACTTTGTACGAGTGATTAAGCTCACAAGTGCTGCCCTGGTGTGCGTGTGCGCGTGCGTGTTGATGTCCTCAAAACTATGTACTCCGTATATCTTTGTTTCTTTCAGATTCGTGCAGATTTTTTCCCCAAGAAACCACTCCAGTTTGGTCCAATTTCAGTGCTCAAGTCCTTTTGTGTTCATCACAACAGCCCTCTGTTTTGTTGATGTTTTTATAAGGTTTTGATTACTTCTCAAATAGTTTAAGACAAGCTACAACACAAATCTGAGTGGATTTGAAACCAGTACGACACCACATTGAACTACATACAAATCTATATGACATGGTAAAAAAAATCATACAAAACTCGTTCAAGCATCGAGTGAAACTCGAACCACCATGAAAATCAAACACGTACCAAAACTATATGGAATCATAGCTACACCCAAAAAAGCATTTAAAGCCATATGCAACTTGCATCGACAAATAAAATCATCCGCTTTTCATTCAAATTTCAAATTTAAAAAATCCATTGACACCTGTGCCAAAACTGTAAGAAAATCATGAAAACATGCTGAAAGTCACTGAAAGCCATATGCAACTTGCATCTATAAAAACTGCTTCATAAATTTTCATCAATATTTCATTCCAGTTCCAAAACATGAATTTTTATATCTCAACCATACGGTCAACATTGGTCTTGTCCAGAAGCTCTAGTAAAAATAGACATGGTGAAAACGAATCCTAAATTAGGTTCAAAATATATAGCCTTTCTTTAGTGAGAAAAATGCATGTATCAATGAGTTTTATGGTATTTTGGGCAAAGAAAAAACCCGATACTACATTAAAGTTACTATTCACATGTTTCATGGTAGCAATTTTTTATTTTTGCCAAGAAATCCACGGAAGTCATTTTTTCGCGAAACTTTACACACGAGTATAACACTAGACCATATTTGCTACAAAAAAGTTCCAAAAATATTTGGCATGTTGTACTATTTTGTTATTTGTTGTGATAAATTGGGTGGGAGTCGACCCAAGTTCCAAAAATCCACACGGATCATTGATCCTCTTTTAACTTGGGCGGATTTGCAAAGGACATGTATGAGCTGCAAGTTTGATATGAACTAAGTTCAATCACGCACACGTTAGATCCCTTTCGAATGTTTTTGAGCAAGCATATTTCTTGAAGAATTCGATTATAACACATCATATGACATTTTCTTTTATTAATTTAAAAGATAGGAGGGGAGGGATGGACCCCGCCCCTCCTATCGCACACCTTCATAAGACGGCGGTTCAAAACTGTGTCAGCGGAAGAGGGTTTTAACTGTTTGGGTTCTGCACTAATGACATATGATGCAAAGCAGCAAAGTTCAATCGCACACACCTCTGATGCCTTTCAAAAAAGAAAGGACCTGCAAATTTGTTGATCAATTCGATTGGACCAGTATAAAACATCGTATGCCATCTTTTTCATTAACTTACAACATCACATCAAGCGATAGAAGAGCATACATCCAGCAGCCTCTGCATAACTATGAAACATATGTAATTATATATAGCCAGAACACGACGCGTAAAGCAGACACACATAGAAATACTTATGCAACATGTCATGTGAAAAAAAAATCAACATGACAACAGTGATACGGCAGTATACGTGACCTTCATTCTAGGTACTGTATAAGGATCTTACAGCTAAGTTGTGCGTTTTTTCTGAGGGGGTTCATAAGTCCCCTGGTTACCGGCAGTATCGGTGATGCTAACAGCACCGCCAGTTGATGTTGGCGCATCGGGGGATGAGGTGGTGAATAGCCCCAGCAAGGAGAGCATAGATGCTAAGCCGGGACGTCCATAAATCCAGTGCTTAATCGAGCTTTTGGTACTGGTACGTCCTCCAGCAGCATCTGAAACTGCAACGTCACGGATGGAGAGCATGTTAGCGAGGGGATATGATCCATATACTAAGAAGAAGACGTGTGTAAGTGTAATGTATGCGAGTAGATAGATAGCTGAGTGCATACCTGCAGGAGCGTGTGGAGGCGTAGCAGTTCTTGGCTCAGAGGAGGATGACGATGAGCGATAGCTCAACAGATGTCGCTGCCCTGGCGACCTGAGTAGCACCAGCTGGGAGCGCATATATGCCGCCATTGATTCTCAGTAGCTAGCTATGCAAAGGGCACCTTAGTTAGCTAGTTGATCGATGACCGTCTAGCTCACTGATGACTGCCTCCAAACAATTAGCCCCTTGGGTGGATACTTATACATGCAAATTAATCTGACCATGGCACTCAACGAGTCAAAATGAAGTACTACGTGCGTTCAACGAGTCAAAATTACGAATAAATAATCAGTTCAAGGCAGAAAAAAGAGGGAAACGCGTCCGTTCCTAGCACCACATCAAGACGAAGACTGCACATCAGACTCGAGACCACACCCGTCAAAGAATAAAAGGATAAAAAGTTGCAGGTTCCCAACGCATACAAATTACTATGGGCCAATCACTTGTCATTGCAGCAATTAGGTAGGTGACTCTGGAAGACTTGCTGCCAGGACAAACACAAGGTTTTGATTTTAGACATCCAGGAATGACTTATTTTCAAAGGGGCGAAGTTCAGCCTTTACAGATGCAGAGCCAAGTTCAAGTAGGAGATGTCTCTGTTAGTTCGCAGAGCAAAGACAGTCTCATTTAGGCCTTCAATCATGGGTTGAAGACTTGATACGACTATACAGTTAGGCCTTGTACCAGTCTTTCTATCTTTTCTGCTTCTACATACTCTGAAAAGTATAGATGCATGCAGTATGGAAACCTACTGCCCTTCCTCAAAAAATCATTGTATCACACACACGTGCACGCAACTTCAAGTGTTCAACACAGCACCAAGCCACAAACACACAGCAAGCAGCAGCAAGCCAATACCAGCAAGTAAGCAACACCAAGCGGCAAACGGCAAAAAAAAAACACACACACCCTTCATAGCTCCACGTAGCACCAAGTAAGAAAAAACACAAAAGTGTCCACAACATGGGTACTCCCTCCGTTTCAAAATAGATGACCCAACTATACTCACCGTTGATTCAAGCGTCGTAGTAGGCAAGATATATACTCACCGTTGTACCGGAAGCATGTGTGTTACTCCCTCCGTCTCATAATATAAGACGTTTTTTGACACTACACTAGTGTCAAAAACGTCCTACATTATGGGATGGAGGGAGTAGTATTTTATTATTGGTATACTATTAATTGCCAGGTCTAGTACATTCCGACTTGCAGATATCATCTAGTTTGGCTGGACAGGACACCAACCAAAACATTTGCTCTGTCCTGGATCGTCCCAAACGAAGCTAAGCTCACAACCTAACTCATTTTGACTCCTGGCATCTTTGAAACCTTGCTCTCTCCAGCGAGGAAGCTTCTCACCTCATTAATCAACTAGTAGTGCATTTGTCTTGATCCTCGCTGAGCTGGGCCTGCATGTTTCTCGCTTGCAGTGCGAGTAGTCAGTCAGTCAATTATATGCTTACCCTTACCAACGTCGGCATCTAAGCTTAGGTGTTGTTTAGGAGTCCACATAGCTGCAATTTTTTTTTCTATTGCATATACTGGCCTGTCATGCGTCACTTGGTTGTGACCCTGCCAACATCATCAGTGTCATCACACATTCTGCTCTGGTATTGTGTACCTGCTCCTCCGCCAACGTCATCCGTAGACTGTGTGCAAACCACACTTAGAAGTCCTCTGCCTCCACTCCACAGATTGGCTCCACATATTCCTTCCTCGCCACTTTCCAAGCAAAGATGCCAACCTTCTATTTAAAGCAGGTGAGCTACCACTACACACCACACCTAGAAATCCTCTTGCAAAGCGAGAGCTTGCTTCAATCTCGATAGCTGAGTAATGACATCTTTATTGTTTCCAGGCTTCGTTCGGTTTCTCTGCCTCTTCCTGGGTTTCTCTTGCAGCCTACCATCATTAGGAATTTGCGATGAAACACCGAGCGATAGACAAGCCCTCCTTTGCTTCAAATCCCAGCTCTCGGGTCCCGCTGGATTTCTAGCTTCATGGAGCAACGTGTCCGTGGAGTTCTGCGACTGGTACGGGGTCACCTGCAGCGCGACGTCCCCCCGGCGTGTCATCGCGCTGGACCTTGAATCCCAAGGCATCTCAGGCACCATAGCACCTTGCATTGCCAAGCTCACTTGGCTGACAAGGCTCCAGCTGTCGAACAACAACTTCCGTGGTGGTGTGCCGTCCGAGCTTGGCCTCCTGAGTCGACTCGCCAGCCTCAACCTCAGCATGAACACTTTGGAAGGTAACATCCCACCTGAACTCTCTACATGTTCCCAGCTCAAAATTCTGGGCTTGTGGAACAATTCCCTCCGTGGAGAGATCCCACATAACCTTAGCCAATGCAAGCGCCTTCAAGAGATTAACCTTGGCAACAACAAGCTCCAAGGGAGCATTCCCCCTGCTTTCGGAGTCCTCCCTGCACTGCGCGTACTAGTTCTCGCCAAAAACACCCTTACTGGGACCATACCGCCATCTTTGGGCAGCAGTCGTCATCTCACATATGTCGATCTTGCGACGAATGCTCTCGGAGGGGTCATCCCTCAGTCCTTGGCAAATAGTTCATCTCTTCAAGTACTTAGGCTCATGAGCAATAGTCTTACTGGGAAACTCCCAAAGGCTCTCCTCAACACTTTGTCACTTGGTGCTATTTGCCTCGAAAAGAACAATTTTGTTGGTACGATACCTTCTGTTACTGTCACACCTTCCCCTATTAAGCATCTCTCTTTAAGGTATAACAATCTTTCAGGAAGAATACCTTCCTCACTAGGGAACCTTTCTTCCCTAGTTCATCTTTATCTCACAAACAATTACTTAGTTGGGAGCATACCAGAGAGCATAGGTTATATTCCAACACTAGAGATATTGACCTTGTCTATGAACAACTTATCTGGGCCGGTTCCACCATCTATCTTCAACATGTCATCCCTGAAAAGTCTCGCCATAGCAAAGAACTCACTTGTCGGCAGATTACCCTTCGACATCGGCTACACCCTCCCCAATATCCAGGACCTAATACTCTCAGATAACAACTATGATGGACCAATCCCAGCCTCTCTTCTCAAAGCTTACCACCTACAAAGGCTGGACCTGAAAAATAATAGATTTACTGGATCCATACCATTCTTCGGCTCATTGCCAAATTTAGTGCTACTCAATTTGGCAAGGAACAAGCTAGAAGCAGATGATTGGGGCTTTGTCTCTTCACTATCTAACTGCTCCAGACTGAACATGTTGGCCCTGGATGGGAACAATCTCAATGGGAAATTGCCAAGTTCTATTGGGAACCTTTCAAATAGTCTTGACTACTTGTGGCTAAGTAGCAACAAAATTTCTGGACCTATACCACCGGAGATTGGCAACCTCAAGAGCCTCATTGGCTTGTATATGGGTGACAATCTTCTCACCGGTAATATACCATCAACAATTGGGAAATTGTACAAATTGGTTGATCTATCCTTTGCGCAAAACAAGCTTTCGGGTCAGATTCCAGATACTGTTGCCAATCTTGTCCAGCTGAGCACGCTGGAATTGGATCATAACAGCTTCAGTGGAAGAATACCTGCAAGTATATCACAATGCACTCAACTCACCATACTCAACCTTGCTCACAACTCACTAGATGGGCGTATACCAAGTAAAATCTTGACAATCTCTACGCTTTCTAAAGAGCTGGACTTGTCAAACAACTACTTGTCTGGAAGAATGCCAGATGAAGTTGGAAGTCTCCTTCATCTGAAGAAAATCAACATGTCAAATAACAGGTTGACTGGCAACATACCATCAACTCTCGGCCAGTGTGTTGATCTGGAGTATCTTGAGATGCAAAACAACTTCTTTGCAGGAAGAATTCCACAAACATTTTCCAACTTAGTCAGCATAAAACACATGGATATTTCTGGGAACAATTTGTCGGGAAAAGTACCAGAGTTCCTCAAATCCTTGAAATCACTGCAAGGCCTGAATTTATCCTTTAACCATTTTGATGGAGCAGTTCCGACAGGTGGTGTTTTTGACAACATTGGTGCAGTTTCGCTCCAAGGAAATGATCATCTGTGTACAATTATCCCGATGAGAGGTATGTCTCTTTGTATGGCTCTGTCTGACAGCAAAAGAAAGCAGAAGCCAGTGGTTCTAGTCCTAGTGATTCTATTGCCAATTGTTGTTGCCACTGCAATCCTTTTCTCTTGTATGGCAACAATTTATAGGAGGAAACGGATGCAAGCAAATCCCCGTTTGCAACATGACAATGAGCACGTAAAGAAGCTAGAGAAGATATCATTTGAGAAGATATCATATGAAGACTTGCTAAGGGCAACTGATAGGTTTTCTTCTGAAAACTTAATTGGTTCTGGATCATTTGGAAGGGTTTATAAGGGAAGTCTGCAGTTTCAAGCAGATCAAGTCGCCATCAAGATTTTTGACCTTGACATTAATGGGGCAGATAGGAGCTTCATAGCAGAGTGTGAAGCCCTAAGAAATGTTCGCCATCGGAATCTTGTAAAAATCATTACCTCATGCTCTTCTGTGGATCATACTGGGGCAGATTTCAAGGCCCTAGTGTTCCCATACATGCCAAATGGGAACCTAGAAATGTGTCTACATCTAAAATATTCTGAAGATGGTGAAAAGAATATTCTGAGTTTAAGCCAAAGGACTAATATAGCCTTGGATGTGGCAGTTGCTTTGGATTACCTTCACAATCAGTGTGCACCTCCAGTTATACACTGCGACTTGAAGCCAAGCAATATACTTCTGGGTCTTGACATGGCTGCGTACGTCATCGACTTTGGCCTAGCAAGATTCTTGTTCAGCCCAGAAAATGCACACCAAGATAGTTCAGCAAGTTTGAGCCGCTTAAAAGGATCCATAGGATACATCCCACCAGGTGAGATAAGCTTATTTGCAAGATAATGGTTCTGTTTGTTCCTTATGGAGTTGTACAAACAATGATGATTCTCTAATTTTATTATGTGTTTTACATGCAAATGCAGAGTATGGAATGAGCGAAGAAATATCAACCAAGGGTGATGTCTATAGCTTTGGAGTGCTTCTGTTACAACTGATAACAGGGTGTAGTCCA